AAGAGAGAAATAAATAAATTAAAACAATATTATCGTACTGACAGATAAGAAACGCGGAGACAAAGAAAAAGAGGAAAAATGTAATTTCAAAGCACACGCGTATCCAATATATAAACACACTCGATAATAATCGCTTCTTCGCGTCTAAAATGTTTGCTGCATGGTTGAGTATAAATATGACGCCGATTTCATCATTCCTACTCGAGCAGTCCTCACGCAGCCAGCGATCAAGTATGGTCGCAGACGAATCGTTCCTCTCGTTAATGTCTTACTGTTGTTCACAAAGTTCAAAATTGCTCACCAACCAACGTGTCAATATAGGAATTCTGTCACAACTACGCCAATTTCATTAACGTGAAAGTGACCCAAAAGAGGAAGAGGTGTGTCAGTTCGTCCAGTGTTATACATAATTGTGACCAGTCTCTATTAAGTGGAACAGTGACGTGTAGCGGAAGTATCTGATAGAAACGACCAAGTCGATTGGAAAATAATTTGAAAATGGTGTGGTGGACAGTAATCGCGCTCCTAGTGGCCGTGTTCACGCTAGCCTACTATCTTCTAGCTCGAAACGCGGATTATTTCGAGAAACGCAACATTCCTTGCCTCAAAGTGAACCCGTTGATGGGAAGCATTTGGAAGGCAGTGCTTCAGCAATCCACGTTCGCCGATATCGTTAAAGAAGCGTACAACGTTCATCCTGAGGCGAAGTATGTCGGGTTCTTCGACTTCTCCATGCCGGTGATCATGCTCAAGGACCTGGACCTGATCAAGTCGATCACCGTGAAGAACTTCGAGCACTTTCCCGACCACAGGAACCTGCAGAACGAGGATACGGAACCAATGTTCAACAAAAACTTGTTCGCCCTTCGCGGTGAAAGGTGGAAGGAAGTGCGGAACTTACTGAGCCCAGCCTTCACGTCTAGCAAGATGAAGATGATGTACGTGTTAATGCGCGACTGTGCCAAGGAATATGGAAATTATCTGGCTAATCTGAAGGAAGAGGAGTCCATC